TGCCAGTAACCTGTACTCATCTTCTGTCCCAGACTAACGACCTGGAAGCAAGTGTGAAACATGAGATCGCAAATGATGAGTTACCTGTAAATGGAAAATTTGCATCTGCAGATGCTAGCAGTGTACAAGACATGTCTCCTGATGAGCATGAACATTTTGTGGATCCCAAACCAAACATCCACTCTTTAATTCTGGATTTCACCCCGGTGAACTTTGTGGATTCAGTTGGAGCAAAAATGTTAAAATCAGTAAGTAGGGCTTTTTTTGCCCCCAGAAAGAGCCATAGAAAATTTGTGGGATACCTAACAGGGAATCTGTCAACATGAGACATAAGTGCCAGCACAGCTACAGTCCAGTACCTCACCTCATGATAGCTTCAGTCCTGTAGCTCTGTAAGTTTTAGCTGAGTACAGTGAACGTGGACTGTGCAACTTGCAAAGTCACTGGCTCACGTCTTCTGAAACTGCCACGTGTGCAGGGATGCACCTGTGGGTAACTTCAGTTTAACTCTGTTGCAGATTATAAAAGAGTACAAAGAAGTTGGTGTCTCTGTCTGCATCGCCAGCTGCAGCGGTGAGTTCAGACGGGTTGGTTTGGGTTGTGGTTTGGGGTTTTTTGTGAGCTTTATGAGAGTTTTCCCTCTGGCCCCATATTTTCTGCTGCCAGGTTCCTTGGTAGCATCAGCACTTGTATCATATTAGATTGCATTAAAATTGGGTTTGAGGAAAAGCAAGCCCATGTGCATTAGAGCCTTCACTTGAGTGAAAGTAGAGCGCTGACGTACCGAGTTCTGTGAGGACGAGATCCTGCTCCTGTTTATTCCAGCTGGCAAATTGTAAATGCCACAGTGACCTTTGTATCTTGAGATCGTTGTAATAATGCAATAAGGAGAAAAGCCTGCAACGTTCCAAGTTTCCAATATTTGGAATTGTAGCATTTCTGCCAAGAACAGGCCTCTGTGTGTGGCTAGGTAAGAGAATTACCCATTTGGAGCTGAAGTAGCATGTGATCCACGTGGCTGTTTTAAATATTTATAGTAACAACAAGTTGTCATCTTCCTCCTGAGATGTCGCCGTCTTCCATCTTCGTACTTCACTTTCTGCACTAATGCCCTCTTTGGGTTTTATTTTGTAGGCCCCGTTATGAATGAGCTGACAAGACTGAAATTTTTTGATAACACTGTAACAAGAGAGCTGCTGTTTCATAGTATTCATGATGCTGTCCTTGCTTGCCAAGTGAGACGGGTCTGCTGCACAGACTGACTTTGACCCCTGAAGAGTACATCAAGCAGAATGGAAGCCAGATTTATGCTGATGGAGACTTTCTGAATATTTAATTTGCACAGTTTAAAGAGAGCCTAAGGCTGTTTGTGTCTACGGGTATAGGGTGGTGCTTATTTTCTGTAGGAAGAGTGGGTAAGGAATTGGAAGCCTTCATGCTCTTGATTTTGTTCCTTCAGTCAGGTTACAGCCTTCCAACAACATACAAGCACAAAATTATGCAAGACAAGAAAATTCAGTGTGTTCTGCTACAATCAGAATTTGATAGACAAGGTGACCTTCACAGAATCATACATTC